TTTAGTGCAAATTCTTGAAAGTGGTAAATGGATATCTTCCCAAATGAAATGTCACCTCTTAGAGACTGAGTTGCCTTGTTTTACTCTTTAAGCAATGTACTCAAAGTCCACAAAAGATTTTGAAGTTGTCTGTCAATTATTTTAATTCTAAAGACACTGTTCTTTGTATTTACTAAGGCAAGTCAGTGTAGGTATGACATGCTGATCCAGAAGAGTAATAATAGAAATTTCAGCATTTATGAAATGGCATAGTCAGATGCTAACAAATGACAGGGAAATAACTATGCTAAGCCCATTAGAGATATTTTTGTGTAGATCTAGAGTTTTGGCTATGATTTTTATTCTGACTTAAGCATTTGCCCAGGTTTTATAAGGATTCTCAACAGTGAATCATAATGATATAGCTCCTCAAAATAGAAGGAATTAATTGTCAAAAACCGGGGAAGAAGAGACTGATTCATGTTTCTGTCATTCTGTTATAGGATGCAGATTCCTCTTATTTTAAAATCTGGAAGACAAAATATCAGTGAAGGAGTACTTGCATTTTTCAAGCCAATGGAAAGAGAAACGGAAAACATAACAACAGCAATTTTCTTATGCACTGAAGACTTATTTGTGATTTTACTTCTTAATAGATACAACTTTCCTTTCAATGTGTAATAAATAAGATTGCCAGGAGTCTTGCAATAAGGGTATTAATACATACTACATTCCTGGATTAAAGAGCATTTTAACATACTCTAGCATGTATGCTTAAAATCTAGGTTAGCAGAATGCCAACCAAAGAATTACAGTAATCCATTTAGCATAAATGCATGGAATATTACATGAAGCAGAGTGCTGGGGAATGGGCAGATATAAAGAAGTGTCTGAAATGGCATGCTTCCAAGGTGCTTACACTCTCTTGGAAGAGTTGACAGGTACAAATGACTGGAATTTGAAGCTGTAGGTAGGACTCATAGCGGCCATAATTTATTAAAAATCTATTATATGTCATTTGCTCTACTGAGGTGCTTTGTAATTAGTTAATTCACTTATTTCTCATAACAGCCCTCTAAGGTAGGTGGTATTATCCACCTTAATAGATGAAGAAAGAAATGACCAAAGCAAGTAGGTGTTACTTTCCCAAGGTCACAGAGCTCGTAAGGGGTAAAGCCTGGGTTAAACTCAGCTCAGGAAGATTCCATTGGCAACTTCTTATTTTAGTTATTATCATTAATTTTACTTTAATCTTTAGCACCTTATAGTAGAAAACATGCATAGGCCATAATAGAAGGGAGAAGAACAGGGGAAGAAGAACATGGTTCTTATGTATAAGCAGTTCACAGTTTACCTATAGACAAGGTAACACCCATAAAATAACTGGAATAGTTGGTGGAGAAGTTGGAGACCACCCCGGTGGCTATCTTTGGGAAATGGGGAAGGTGTAAATGGTGGAGTGATACCATGAGGTACAGCAAGTAAAAGCAATGGAATAAATGCATACATGGCAAGATGGATATATCCTAGAAGCACGGTGATGAGTGAAGAAAGTAAATGATGACTATAACAATTCTGTTTACATATACTTAAATTTGTGTGCACAGAAGATAGTGCTCATTTTGTCCACAGGGGATCCCAGATAATGGAATTATTAAACACAGGCTTGAAAATTATGTTTGGTATATTTAAAGATATAAAACACAAGATTGAGAATCTCAGCAGCAACCTAAGTGTCCATTGATGAATAAAGAAGATGTTGTGTATTTATATAAAATGTAATATTACTCAGCCATTAAAAAAAGAAATCTTGCCACTTGATACAACATGGATGGATCTAGAAGGTATTATGCTAAGTGAAATGTCAAAGAAAAATACCACATGATCTCACTAATATGTGTAATTAAAAAAAAAGAAAACAAGGGCTTCCCTGGTGGCGCAGTGGTTGAGAGTCCGCCTGCCGATGCAGGGGACATGGGTTCGTGCCCCGGTCCAGGAAGATCCCACATGCCACGGAGCGGCTGGGCCTGTGAGCCATGGCCACTGAGCCTGCGCGTCCGGAGTCTGTGCTCCGTAACGGGAGAGGCCACAACAGTGAGAGGCCCGCGTACCGCAAAAAAAAAGAAAACAAAAAACAGACACGCAGCCACAGAGAAAACACGGGTGATTATTGTGGGGTAGGGGGCAAAATAGGTGAAGGGGATTAAGAGGAAAAAGCCTCCAGTTATAAACCCCTGTGGGTTTGTTCCTATTGTCTGTTGTTTCTCTTGGATTTGGCTCATGTTGTCTTATCTCCTCAGGTGCTTTATTTTAGATGGTCCAACATAAATATGAAAAATTATAAAAATAACTTAAAAGGTCCAGAGAAGATGTACATTTGCTCTGGGTATTAGCTAGGTACACTACAAATCCAGGGTCACCTTAATCCAGTTTTAGGGATTGAAAAGATTGAAAATGTATCTATTTTTTTTGTTCACCCTCTTTCTTTGGAGAGCCCTGGACTCCATTTTTTAACCCTCTAACTTAGTAGCAAGTCTGCCAAAAGTGTTATCTTCTCAGCTACCTCTTCCTTAATTGGCAAATATTCCTAGAAGAAAAGCAGCTCAAATGCTGAGCTCAGGTCTCTTAAGTTTCATTTTGCCTTGGATCTTGGTTGGTGATATAATTCTTCACTGTCTTCTTGGTTCTCTGATACCTTTAAACAGACTTAAAAATATTATTTTGCCCAGCTTTCCTAATTCTCTGTGAGATGTCTCATGTGAATTACCTAGGCAGTACTAAGGTAGAAGTCAGAAAAGCTGGTATTAGGGCAAGTTCAATCAGGTCAGATATTTTGAATATATGAGACGGAGATAAATAGTTACATATACAGGTTCAGTGCTAAGAAGAGAGGTTGAGTACATGTATTTGAACATCATCGACTTATTGATGATATTTTAGGTCTTGGGAGTGAATGAGAATTGTCTGTGGTGAAATGTAGAGTAAGAAGAGGGGGCCTGAACCAGTTGTTAAGAAATTCCAAAATTTAGATGTCAGGTGGAAAAGGAAAAGCAGCAAAGGTGATTGAGAAGGAGTAGTCAGGGAGACAGGAAGAAAATGAAGATAATGTAGCGTCAGGGAAGCCCAAAAGAAAAAAATTCAAGGAGTTGTCAAATGTGTCAAATGCTACTTAGAAAACAAATAAGACGAGAATATAAAAGTAACTATAGTTGACCCTCGAATAGTGCTGGGGTTTTAATCTGCATATAATTTAGAGTGGGCCCTCTGTATCCGTGGTTCCTCCTTATCTGTGGATTCAATCGACTTTGTATCTTAGTATTTACTACTGAAAAAAATCCATGTACAGTTCAAACCCACGTTGTTCAAGGGCCAGCTGTAGTTGGTTTGACAGTATGAAGGTAAACAATGACTTTAATAAAAACTTTCTTTATCTGGGGAGATAGTAGAGATGGAATCCAGACTGGAATGTTTTGACAAGTGAATGAAGATGAGGAAACTTGGCCATGAAAAGAAATGGAGGGACATGGCGGTAGTTTGAGAAAAATTCATGGTAAAGGGAAAGCATGGCTTGGCACTATTATAATACTGAAAATCTTTAAACAACTTAAGATGCCCATTATTTGGGGGACAGTCTAATAATTTGTCATATCTATCAATGTTATACAGTCATTAAAACTGATAACTAGTGTTTTTAATGATATGAGAAAATTCCCCTAGGTGACAAAAAGGTATATATATGTAATTTTCCAGCTAATAAATCTGTTACATAAATCATAAGCCTGAGATCTGAACTCAGATGTAACACCAAACCCTATCTTATTAACTATACTATATTGCTTCCCCCAAAATGACTTAACACACGAATCTCGTGAATTCATTAATTGAAATTAGTCCAAAAAGCTATCCTTTAACACTGCTGTATTGAAGTGTTCCACTTAATAAAGGAGTAATAGTAATAAAAACCTAATTGGTACATTTCAAATAATTTCAATCATTACTAAAGAGAATATATTACTGTACTACCTACTCAGGAGGCTACTACAGATTAAATAACGGGTACTATAGACGGAAATAAATAAAGTGTAGAGGAAATTCATGTCCCAAATGATGCAGATTCATTGTTCATCCTCCTTATAAGTACCTGTAAAAAGTTCTAAGCAGCAAAAGGGTGAAAATAAAAGCCTGATCACATTATGAAAAATTTTCTCCCATCTCTTTCTGCCTTTAGTTCAAACACCTTAAGACACTAGTAACTGGTAGTCCTACTGGATAAGTCGTTCTTCAGAAGCCGTATATTCAGTTGAAAAGGAATGCATGAGGAGCCAGATCTACAGAATGGCCTCTAACAGTCATAATCAGATTACCTTAATGTTGCTGATCCTGTGAGTATTCACATGATGAATGGGATGACCTTTTCCTTTCAAACATATCAAAAGGATACTTGGGAAAAAAAAGAAAGATTTTTTTGGAAGAGATTTTATTGAAAATTTTTAAGGTTTCTGAATTGAAGTATATGAAAAGAAAATGAATAGATTATATGGAAACAAACCATGTTAAATATTAAAATAAAATAGCACAAAGTTTGAAAATACTATAAAATTTAATATTTCAAATAAATATATATACATTATGTAACCTTCAGTAGGATCCATTATCTTGACTTAAAAACACTGATATGTGTATCTTTTAAGCATGTAAAAATTACATAGTTGTTGACTAAGGGCAGTCACTTATACATTTAAGAAAGCATTAAAAAATTCATTATATTATCTTACACAAATGTTTTATATTTACCAAAGCCTACCACACTCAATAGGGCACAAATATTGGCCAACTAATTTTAACTTTTATGTTAGACATAAAGTTGTTGTTTTAAACCATTAAGATACCTAAGAGAATCAACTTTATAGAGCTTAGCTTTTCTTAGGCATCTGACTTGTGGGAGGAGAGAGAGAAGTCCAGTGAAGTTATGAGGAATCATATTGTTAATTTTCTAGACATCTCATTTGCTCACAATACAAGTTAAAATGGGTTCTAAAACAAATGTATATGGAGAGGTTTTGAAGAATAAATTGGATATCCCAGGGGAGGATCAGCCGCTTGTACTGTAAGGTTTCTTAAAAGTAGTGGATGAGCTTGTATACTATAACGTTCCTCATCATCATTGGTGGCATAAAGCAATTCCCATGAAAGATTGGCCCACTGACCTCTAACAGCTTCAGCATTTAACTTCCCAACTTGGATCAATAATTCTTGAAGGGTAAGTACTCTCCCAGTGTAAACTCCCTGTAAAGAATAAACGAGGTGGGAGGGAAAGCAAAAGAAAAGAGATTATATTCAGGCCTTTATTTATAAAATTAGAGAAAAATTCCATTGTAGTTAGGCAAACTTAAACAGAAAGTAGTGTATCAAAATGTACACGAGTTGCTTGTCTTCAGAATCAAGAATCACATCTATCTGATTGCTCTCCAAATAAGTGCAAGAGAAAAAAATTTCCTGATAGCCACTGCACTCACTTCTCTTTACTTTCCTCTCTATTCCCTCATCTCATCTGGCCTCAGCAATGCATAAGTCATAAATACTAGTCAGTGAACAATCATCCAATAGGCTCTTTTCAAAAGCAGCTTTATTGAGATATAATTCACATTCCATATAATTTACTGATGTGAAATATATAATTCAATGACTTTTTAGTATGTTCAGATACGTACAACTATCTCCACAACTGCAGAATATTTTCATGACCTCAAAAAGAAACCTTGTACTCTTTAGCTATTATCCTCCTATCCCTTAATTTCCCCAGTCATTAGCAACCACTAATATATTTTCTAATCTAATGTATTGATTTGCCTCGTCTTGGAAATTTTACATGAATGGAATCATGTGTTTTTTTGTGACTGGCTTTAATTCAGCATGTTTTCAAGGTTGATTCATGTTGTAGCATGTATCAAGTAAATTCACTCCTTTTTATGGCCAAATAATATTCCATTGAATGAATATACCACTATTTGTTTATTCATTCATCAGTTGATGGACAGTTGGGTGTGTCCATCTTTCAGCAATTATGAATAATGCTGCTATATTTGAATTTTCATGTGGATTTATGTTTTCATTTATCTTGGGTATATAGGAGTGGAATTACTGGATCATATGGTAACTCTATGTCTAGTTGAGAAAATGCCAGAATGTTTTCCGAAGTGGTAGTACCATTTTACATTTCTGCCAGCACTGTATCAGAGTTCCAATTTCTCCATATCCTCACCATCGCTTATTATCTAACTTTTTGATTTTAGACATCCTACTATGAAGTGATGTCATTGTGGTTTTGACTTGCATTTTGCTGATGATGAATGATATTGAGCATCTTCTCATGTGCTTATTGTTCCATTTGTATATTTCCTTTGAAGAAATGTCTATACAATCCTTTGTTATTTTTAAATTGGGTTAAGTTATGCTATTTATGGTCTAGCCCTCTAGTATATTTTTCATTTAGTTCTTTTTTATAATTTCTATCTCTATTGATATTCTTTCTCTATTTGATGTGAGATTGTCATCATACCTTCCTTTACCTCCCTTTTTAAATTGAAATATAATTGACATATTAGTTTCAGGTGTACAGCATGATTCAATATTTGGATATATTGTGAAATAATCACAATAAGTCTAATTAACATCCATCACTTCTTGAGATGAGAACTTTTATGATCTACTCTCTTAGCAATATAACAATATACAATCAGTATTATTAACCACACTGTGCATTGCATCCCCAGGTCTTATTTATTTTGTAACTGGAAGTTTGTACCTTTACCAATTGCACCCACTCCCACCCTCTGGCAACCACCAATCTTTTCTCTGTGTCTGTGAGTTTGGTTTTTTTCTTTTTGATTTTTTAGATCCCACAGATAAGTGAGATCAAATGATATTTATCTTTGTCTTATTTCACTTAGCATAATACCCTTAAGGTTTATCCATTTTGTCACAAATGGCAAGATTTCCTTTTTTATGGATGAATAATATTCCTCTGTGTGTGTGTGTGTGTGTGTGTGTGTGTATTTTCTTTATCCATACATCTGCAGGTATACAGGTTATTTCCATGACTTCGCTATTAAAAATAATGCTGCATTGAGCATGGGGGTACAGGTATGGTTCTGAATTATTATTTTCATTTCCTTTGAATAAACATTAAAAATTGAAATTGCTGGATCATACGGTAGTTCTGTTTTTAATTTTCTGAGGAACATCCATATTGTTTTCCAGAGTGGCTGCATTAATTTACATTCCCTTTCTCCACATCTTAGCCAACACTTGTTATTTCCTGTCTTTTTGATAAGAGCCATTCTAACAGGTTATGAGGTGATAGTGGTTTTGATTTGCATTTCCCTCATGATTTGTGATGTTGAGAACCTTTTCATGTCCCTGTTGGCAAACTGTGTATCTTCTTTGGAAAAATTCATATTCAGTCTACTCATATCCCCTGCCCATTTTAAAATCAGATTTTTTTTTTTGCTATTGAGTTATATGAGTTCTTTATATATTTTAAAACATAATAACCCATTATTAGATATATGTTTTACAAATATTTCTCCCACTTTGTAGATTGTCTTTTCGTTTTGTTGATGATTTCCTTTGCTGTGCTGAATGAAGCTTTTTATTTTTAAATTTAATTTAATTTTTTTTTTTTTCTGAGCCACACAGCATGTAAGATCTTAGTTCCCCAACCAGGGATCAAACCTGTGCTCCTGCAGTGGAAATGCAGAGTCTTAACCACTGGACTGCCAGGGAAGTCCCTGAATGAAGCTTTTAAGTTTGAAGTAATCCCACTTGTTTATTTTTGCTTTTGTTGTCAAATCCAAAAAATCATTACCAAGACCGATGTCAAGGAGCTACCACCTATGTTTTCCTCTAGGAGTTTTATGGTTTCAGGTCTTACATTTAAGTCTTTAATCCATTTTGAGTTAACGTTTGTGTATAGTGGTAAGACAGTGGCCCAGTTTTCATAACAACATTTATTGAAGAGACCGTCTTTCCCCCATTGCATATTATTGGCTCTTTTGTCATAAATTAATTGACCATATATATGTGCATTTATTTCTGGGCTCTCTATTCTGTTCCATTGACCTATGTGTCTGTTTTTATGCCAATACCATACTGTTTTGATTACTATGGCTTTGTAATATAGTTTGAAATCAGGAAGCATGATGCCTCCAGTTTTGCTCTTTCTCAAGATTGCTTTAGCTATTTGGGATCTTCTGTGGATCCATACAAAGTTTAGGATTGTTTATTCTATTTCTGTGAAAAATGCCATTGGAATTTTGACAGGGATTGCACTGCATCTGTAGACTGCTTTGGGTGGTATGGACATCTTAACAATATTAATTCTTCCAACCCATGAGCATGGAATATCTTTCCATTTATTTGTGTCTTCAATTTCTTTCATCGATGCCTTATAGTTTTTAGTGTCTTTCACATTCTTTTAAAAATTTACTCCTAGGTCTTCCTAACTTGCCTTTCTGATAGTTCATTATTAGTGTGTAGAAATGCAACATATTTCTGTATATTAAGTTTGTATACTGCAACTTTACCAAATTCATGTATGAGTTCTAGTAGTTTTTGGTGGTGTCATTAGGATTTTCTATGTATACTATCACATCATCTGCAAACAGTGACAGTTTTACTTCTATCTTTCCAGTTTCGATTCCTTTCTTTCTCTTCTCTGGTTGCTGTGGCTAGGACTTTCAATACTATGTTGAATAAAAGTGGTGAGAGTGGAAATCTTTGTCATGTTCCTTATCTTAGAGGAAATACTTTCAGCTCTTCACCCCTGAGTATGATGTTAGCTGTAGGCTTCTTATATATGGCCTTTATTATGTTGAGGTATGCTCCCTTTATACCCACTCTGTTAAAGAGTTTTATCATAAATGGTTGTTGAATTTTGTCAAAAGCTTTTTCTGCATCTATTGAGATGATCATATGATTTTTTAAAAAACTGAAGTATAGTTGATTTACAATGTTGTGTAAGTTTCAGGTGTACAGCAAAGTGATTCAGTTATACATATTCATAAATACATATATATAATATATTCTTTTTCAGATTCTTTTCCATTATAGGTTATTACAAGATATTGAATATAGTTCCCTGTGTGATATAGTAGGTCCTTTTTGTTTATCTATTTTACATATAGTAGTGTGTATCTGTTAATCCAAACTCCTAATTTATCCCTCCTCCCCTTTCCTCTTTGGTAAAAATAAGTTTGTTTTCTATGTCTGTGCGTCTATTTCTGTTTTGTAAGTAAGTTCATTTGTATTATTATTTTAGATTCCACATATAAGTGATATGATACTTGTCCTTCTCTGTCGGACTTAGTTCATTTAGTACGATAATCTCTAGGTCCAAACACATTGCTGCAAATGGCGTTATTTCATTCTTTTTATGGTTAAGTAATATTCCACTGTGTGTATATATCTATGTATGTATGTGTGTATGTATATATATGTGTGTGTATGTAAATTGGGTTGGCCAGAAAGTTCGTTTGGGTTTTCCCATAACATCTTACAGACAAACCTGAACAAACTTTTTGGCCAACCCAATATATACTACATCTTCTTTATCCATTAATCTGTCGATGGACATTTAGGTTGCTTCCATGTCTTGGCTATTGTAATAGTGCTGTTATGAACAGTGGGGTGCATGCACCTTTTTGAATTAGAGTTTTTGTATTTTCCAGATATATGCCCAGGAGTGGGATTGCTGGATCATATGGTAACTCTAGTTTTAGTTTATTAAGGAATTTCTATATTGTTCTCCATAGTAGCTGCACCAGTTTACATTCCCACCAACAGTGTAAGAGGGTTCCATTTTCTCCACAAACTCTCCAGCATTTATTGTTTGTAGACTTTTTGATGATGACCATTTTGACTGGTGTGAGGTGATATCTCACTGTAGTTTTGATTTGCATTTTTCTAAAAATTAGCAGTGTTGAGCATCTTTTCATGTGCCAGTTGGCCATCTGTATGTCTTCTTTGGAGAAATGTCTATTTAGGTCTTCTGCCCATTTTTTGATTGGGTTGTTTGGTTTTTTAATATTGAGCTGTGTGAGTTTGCATATTTTGGAAATTAATCCCTTGTCGGTCTCATTGTTTTGCAAACATTTTCTCCCAAACCATAGGTTGCCTTTTAGTTTTGTTTATGGTTTTCTTTGCATGAAAAAGCTTTTAAGTTTAATTAGGTCCCATTTGTTTATTTTCCTTTCATTTCCATTGTTCTAGGAGGCAGATCCAAAAAA